GACGTGACGTCTCCGTTCCCTCCTTCAGGGAACGAGGGTTACATACGTAACCAAGACGTTCTATCTTTCTGGAACCTGTAATTTTAAGAGTGTAGGGGAAAATTGATCATTGTTAACTAAAAGGGTCACTGGGAAACCCACAATGGTTCTTCTATGGCATTGCTGCAAAAATACCATTTTGAAACCATTATTTTTAATATAGGAGTATGTTCAAAATCCACAGTTAGATTCCATGAAATACATTTTAGTCCTCACAATTTAAATATCTGGGACATATTTACACTGAGCCCTCCCATCTTTCCTCACGGTTCGTCTGTCAGTATTGTGTGTTCACTGTAAATGCAAGTATGTGGGTTAAGACATTGATGCACTGCTCCTCTCACAGAGGATGAGTCATCCCCCTCTCCTGCCCTCCCCTTTCCTCTGTGCGTGGTTGTGTGGAAAGGGTAACACCCCCTCAAGCACCACTGACGCTCATCAGACTGACAGTGTTGGTGTGTGTGAGAAAGATGGACTTATGTAAAGATCAAGCATGCTGATATCACGCACTGACCAATAAGGATATCATAATCAAAAGTACAATATCCCTGGAATGCAATCAGACATCAAAATGGGCATCCCTGAAGTAATCTGATGATTTACCTGAGCATCCTAATACAGCCCAACAAGCAGCAATTTTTTTCAGTGTCCTTAGAATTTTTTTCTCATTCATTTTTTCATTAAAAATGCTTCAATAAAGAGTTTAATAAAATAAAGCATTTAATCAAACCATCCAGCTTAGAGAAGAATTACAACATTAACAACTCTAATTTAAGAAAATACTGGAAAATCTGACCAAGACTGTATACAGTATATTGACAACACAAGTTGTCAACTGTTTCAAGTGTTTTTTAATCAAATTACATAATATAGTTATTAATTAACCAAATTAATCAGAAGTAATTATTTATATGAATATTTGCTTAAAAAACCCTGAAGATAATTTAATGCATGACATTACTGTGTCAGACAAATAGAGCATTGGACAATCAAGGCATAATGTTCCTAATATTAGTATAGTAATTTTGCAGTTGTAATGTAAAACAAAATTATTATATAATTTTTCTTAAACAATAGATTTTTTAATTTTACAGTCAAATATTACAAGAGTAATAGTTCTTATTTTGTTCTTTATTATATATTTTTATTTAATAATAAAAAATAAAATTATTTTAATATATTTTTTCTATTATTATTATGAAAATAATTTTATAGCCATATTGATAATACCAAAATTTTGCCAAACTGTGCAGCCCTACAATAAGAACGGCAAATCTGGAATTGTTTTAATGGCATGTAAATCACAATTTTTTTTATCAGAAAACTTGTACAGTTTTTTTCCACACTGTTTTATAGCGATTCTGTGATTGGTCGATCTCTCCTCAGGATTATGGATAGTGTAGTTATTCACCAGGAATCTGACAATTTAACAGGATATTGTTTTTAAATGTTGAAATCATATTGAAGCATATATCATCACTTTACAGAGAATATGAGTTGTGTCTTTTATGCATTGTGATTTATACGGAACCTGACTATTGTCTACTGTCTATTCTATTCTCTATAAAAAATAATCTAATATTATAAAAAAGGTCTTGGCACATAGTTGATATCCTTGAAGCATCTCTTGGTCCATGGGCAGGGTTTCATTTTGTCTGTGGCTTCAGTGGTGACCTGATGGCGTTCCTTGCCATTTGTCATGTAAACTCAGAATGACATCACAGGAGAGTGGGCGGTCTAGACTTTCTCTGAGGGCAACAAGAACAACAATCATGGACCATTCAGTGGACTAAATGTGCTGACAGATGCCCACAACCCTTGAGCTGTTATATAAATTAAACTTTGGACCTCTACATATGATTATGGAACAAGGAATTCATGCAGGAGGTGATCAGGTTTGGACAGGGGTGTATTTGCAACCTGCAAATTCAAAAGACGGTCTTCACCTGAAAACTGAAATATGTTTCTGCCATCACCACATCTCTCAATATTGGAACCTGACCTTATTCTTTCTGACTGAAACTGTATGAATCATTTTGAATGTGACTTCAAAATTAATATTTATGCATTCTTAATATAATACTGTACAGTACCACTTAGCATGTAAAACTAAAAAAAAGACAAAACAGTCTAGATTTTTAAACATTTGATTTGGCTTCCTCACACAAAAGAAGGGAACTGAATCATTTTTCTCCATGCAATCACAATGAATGAGAACTGTAAACTGTAGCAGGGACACAGAAACCTCAAAAGTATCATTAAAGTACTTGTGTGCATTCTATGTTTTCTGAGTCATATGATAACTCTGGTGACATTATATATAAGTTATTATTCACTGATAAATTAACTGATCTTCCCCTCCAATGAGCTGGTAACCAACCGTTGCAACCGGATTATTGAGCATCGAGAAGCATCCTTCCAACTTGAAAATGAATCATTCAGACTTGTGTTGCGAACTGGATCAACAGTCAATGTGCCAGAAAGAACTAAGGCAGATTACGAATCATATGGTAGAACTCATACTCATAGAAATGGAATACAGCCCATTAGTCATATGGACAAGTGTAATGAAATTTTTTGTATTTCTTTTTGTCAATTTAAACATTGACAGCCCTAGTACTTGATCACTTTCACTGCATTGAAAAACTGTCAAAACGGTCTATTCTTCAAATATTTACCTTTCGTGTGATACATGTTTTGAATGACATAAGGGAGAGTAAATCAATTTTCATCTTTAGCTGAACGTTTACTTTAAAGGGGTCATATGATGCTATTTTAAAGATCCTTATTTTGTGTATTTGGTGTAACAGAATATGTTGACATGCTTTAATGTTCAAAAAACACATTATTTTTCAAATACTGTACATTATTGTAGGTCCTCTATGCCCCGCCTCTCTCAAACGCTTCGTTTTCTACAAAGCCCCCTCCTTTGACAAGCACAGTCTGCTCTGATTGGCCAGCTGACCCAGTGCATTGTGATTGACCGAACACCGCAAGCACTCATCGGAAATGTAACACCCCTTACCATAACCGCGAGCTTCACCTTTCAAAGTAAATATCAGTTAATAATGACGTTA